GCTATCATAACTGGACACCCTAGAAAACTTAAACTCGTCACGATAAGGAGCTTGGAACTAGCTCGGTGGGCATCACGGCCATCTTCAACAGCAGAACATGTCTTCCCCAGCTAAATCATTCCTTTCCTAGAAATTAAAATAACAATCCATAGGATTTCGAGGTTGTTCGCCTAATGCAACATAAATCCTGCAACACTAATGCAACATAAATCCTCAACCTTTTCGTTAGGTATTCATATGGCTCTGCTGTGCTATCTAAGCCCTAACTCGTTTTAGGATTCTGAGGTTGTCGTTCGTTACGACCTAAATCCTCATATCTTCCAGGCAATTTGTGCGATCGGTTCACACGAATGCAAGCCCCAATTAAATAAAGTTGGCAGTATGAAACATTTGAATAATTTTTCCTCAAAATTGAAACCAAACCATAGGGTAGATTGAGAAGTCATCGAGGATCTCCTCTGGATCTATGGCATCCCCTAGTTCTTCTTCCTTTGGATTCTGTAATAAATGTTCCAAATTTGAGTCATTCCCCTTTCACACCTCTTTGACCGATTCTGTTGAAAAGTCCTATCCTTTTGAAGTCATTGAAGATAATTTTTTCCTGATTTTTATCGAGAGTATTCTTAAGTGACTTCGGTCATTTAAGATGTAATTAACTATAGGGGTTTGCCCTTATAGGAAGTTTTTCCGAACCCAGCTTAAAATAAACCCTATTTAATTTTTCATATTAAATAGGAAAATTTGTCGGCAAATAAAACGGTTTCGTAGACCAAACGGACGTCATATATATCTTAGTTTATTTGATCGAGTCTCATCCTCAAGTCTTGTGTTTATCCCTCGGGATAGATACAGAGTTTGAGGTAAATCGCTCTTTCATTTAAACTATGAAAAATATGGGGTCAGTATGATTTTTATATTTGATTTTAAATTTAAATCTATATGTAAATTAAAACGTCCTTCCGAAGCGGGCGACGAGATTTCGATTCCGGTGACCGACAGCTTCTTACGGGCAACAACAACCCCCAACACATTTTATCGTCGACAGACACATTATTACAACTCAATAAAAGAGTCAAGTATAGACTCTAAATAAATACATCTCAAAATAAGAAAAGATTTTATTTTCTTACCCTAAGAGGAGAATTATCAAATATAATTCTACTCCTAATTTTATTTTTGCATATATCTCTTTATTTTGTTTGCATGCTCTAGATTATATAAATGATCTTAATTTACTAGAACTAAATGAAAATATGACACTAAATAGGACGCAATGGAGAAAAAGGATTCATGTAGCCGACCCCACGTAGTGGGATTAAGGCTTTGTTGTTGTTGTTGTTGCTCTAGATTATATAATTGACTATGATCTACCAAATAAGAACTAGACATAAATTGAGTTTCACCAATTTTCAATTTTCATGATTTAACCATTCATTGAGCTTACCAAAAAATTCACGAATATTCAATTGATTGATAAAATTCATTTTAAAAATTGTGATCTACAAAATAAGAACTAGACATAAATTGAGTTTCATCAATTTTCAATTTCATGATTTAACCATTCATCAAGCTTACCAAAAAATTCATGACTATTCAAATGATAGATAAAAGACCTTTTAAAAGTTGGGGTTTACGCATGTATTTACTTTTTTCCCCAATGAGTTTATCCATGTATTTGACCAATCAAAATTGTTCGTTGTATACAAGATGTCATCATGCGCAAATGTATTTGATTCCAATCCTGTTGAATGTCTCTACATTTCAGAACCATAATGATCTTATCATGCAATCAAAGCCATCCATTGTGTCAATTTTGTTGCATCCAAATGATGATCAAGAGATCTAAAAAATTTATGAAATGAAATTGTGCATACCACCTGTTTTAATTATGTGAAATATAGTTTTAACATTGCATACATGCACAAAACAAAACTGGATTGGTTCCCAGTCTCAGACCCCGTATAACTGGGTCCGGACTATCTTTAAGGGGCCTTCAGGTTCTAAGAAGACATGCCAAACATAAGTGACTAAAAAAAATAAGGGGGTCAAATTTGGCATTCTCAAAGTTGACTGAAAGTATCTGCCAAGTGAACAAATTTGAATAATAAAAAATTAATGGCAGTTCAAATTTTTTTAACAAGTTAAAATTTCAAATATATTTTAGGCTATCACATGATAATGTTTTTCATTAATGCTGCACCATTACTCTCAGGCAAGTGATTCTCTTAGTTCTTGGTCATTCTACTAATGCTGCCCATCTTTTTCACCTTGCAGTATCCGAATATTCTCCATTGCTTTCCTGATCTGCATGTTTGGGGTATTGCCGCTGAATTATTATGGACAAGAAATGACTCACAACCGCATGGCTCGTGAATCTTTGGAAGTTTTTACAATTGTCAATGTTAAGGAAGGCTCTCAATGGTAAGCACAAAGATGTTTTAGTCCATTCTCGATGTATAGTAATTCTTGCTGTATCGGTACTTTCTTTGAGAGAACTCAATAATTTATTGATTTGATTAATGTCCAAGCAAACACATATTCGTTTCTTTTATTATTTCATGATGAGGGCAACTAGTTTATATCACCTGAAGATCTGATATAGACTGGTGGATCTATACCTGGTTGGAGATCTAGATTAACTGGGATTATGAATTTTGAATGCCTAGCATCTTGGTCATCAGATGAAATGTTCTGTCCAAAGTTATATGTAATAGGCACCAAGTCTTGATTGAATTACCATTTTAAGTGATTTAAATTTTTTTTTTAAGCTAATTAGGTAACTCAGAGGCAATTGGTATGGCGTTAAATCAGTTAGAAGTTATGCGAGAATCTCAAAATGCATTATCTATCTTTTGACATAACTTTTTATTGAAAGTGATATTCTGGAAGTATGGATGCTTGAGCTATTCTTTTTCCTTTAGGTGACAGTTTTATGTCGTCACATTGCAGGTTGTGGTTTCACTGCCTTGCCTTGCATATTATCTCTTTCTCAGCTTGCACCCTTCTTTATTTTGTAAGAATTTCCTTAAGAATTTCAAGGAAAGATTTCATTACTGTTTTTTTATGCTCATCTTTATTTGCTTTGAAGCTTTATCAAAGTATAATACATGTTCCTGTTTTATTTTTCTCCAGGAATATCAAAGAATTTCCAAACTAAGACTGGATCATGTTATAGCTTGTCCTCCTAAACTTAGCCATTTCACTATTCTTGTTCGTTCGATACCACGATTGGAAGACATGCCACGTGATGATGCCATTAAAGTGTTTTTCATAACTTATCATGGAATGAGTTACTTGTCACATCAAAGAATTTATCAGAGTGGAGCATTTCACAAATTTATGGTAAGTGATTTTTGATATGCATGCCTAATTCAAATTTGTTTTCTTATAAAAAATGGTTGAGTTGAAAGTCATAATTTAGCATCTTAAGCTCCACAAAAGGCTACTAGCAAGGTACAATATCTTTGAAGCATTTTATTAAAAATACGGAATTATTCTATGCGCGCACATTAAAAGCATTGGGTATAAGATGTATTCTATATGCTTGGTCAATGTATGCTTCTACTCATGCATATTCTGGAATTTGTTCTTGTAGGTTTTTTTCATTATCAATGGGGTTCATGCATGAAATAAATTGAAATTGTTCAGATGTATGCCCCACAAAACTAGGATGAACTGAGAGAGAATTGGTTACCTTTGAGGTCGTTAGATTAGAACCTATTGGAAATGAGTTACTTAGAAATAGGCTTGGTTGGTGAAGAAGTTTCCATGGTCTTGATAGCCATGACACTTCTTGGCAAACTCTTCCGCATCATTGCTTAGAGTTAGCTAATAGTCTCCCACCGGATTACCTGAATGAGCATCTGCTACCAGAATTATTTCCTCATTCATTAGCATAAGCTTTTACAGGGCTTTAAAGGATTCAACAAGCGGAAGGCATATGAGGTTGATTGTTGGGGAAAATTTTTGGAATAGAACTTCGTTTAAAATGAAATATCAAGTAGATTGGTATTTGAGCAAAAATGCAGCATCATGATTGCGCGACAGCTTAATCCATATGGAAATTAAGAATATACATTGACCAAAATTCATCACCATTAATTTATTTTTTTTTCTTCATTGATTATTGGAGTTTTAAGTTTTGGGATTGATGTCACGTACATTTTCATACTTCATCTTGAAGTCTGCAAAATAATTTTTTCATTTAGGGAACGTGTTGAACATCAACTTATTAATATTAAGGATTTTTTCCTATTACTCATCTAGATAGAATCCTAAAATCATGTCAAGCACTGTATCTACTAACTCAGTTCATGATTAGTTGTGAGCCCTGAGCATGATGTCTCTTGACCCCTAATTTGCTTTAAGGTAGATTTTTGTTATCATGAGTTGATTATTCAAGATTTTTAAATTGATACATAGTGCATAATTTAGAATCATGCCTTGAGGACTCATGAAGATCACACTAACTGCAATGCTATGTTCTCACGAGGCATTGTCTGCATGCATAGACCAGTAATGTTTCCCATCCATTTGATCTGACTTACCATGTTCTTAAGCTAAATAAATTTCTATGACAAAGTTTATGAAGACTTGGGTTTTGAAGGAGATATGAGATAGATGTTCAACATAATAGGCATTGGGCTTAATTGGCCATTTTATTACTTTTATTATTTAGCGATCAAAATTAAATTTCATCATCTGACATTTTGTTTTTGACTTTGTGATTTTAAGCACTCAGGCGGAGTCTTGGCATTTTTAGCTCTATTAGCATCAATGGAGTTTTTTTGTTAAATAAACGACAACTAAGAGATTTTGACACCTGCGGTGCTTTTCAAGCTGCACCTACATAACATCATGCTTGTTGGTCCTTGTATTTCTTGCATTCGAACAAATAATTTGCGTGGTTAGTGTCAAGGTTAACAATATTTTCCCTTAATTTCTGCTCTTCTCCTCGATCAAACCTATGTGGACACTAATCAAATGGCAGTATGTATTGGGCAATTTGACGGATGTGTTGAATAACTTCTATTATGGCACGTGCTCTCAATTACAATCTTGAGTTAGATGCATCTCTATTTCAAGGCTTTGGGGGTCTCGATTGAGTTTTTTATTAAATAAGCGATGACTAAGAGATTTTGACGTTTGTGGTTTGTTTCGAGCTACTCCTAAACGCAACATCATGTTTATCGGTCTTTGAAATTTCTTGCATTAGAACAAATAATTTGTGTGGTTGATGTCAAGATCCTGACAATAAAAAAGAGCACAATGGGATTGGGGAGCAGGTAACTCTCCCTCCCAAACGTGATTTTTTCCTTGTGTCACATTGCACCCACTACAATACCATAAGCGTTATTTCACGTTGAGTGGACCCCGCGCCTTACCTCTGACTAATGGGATTCCTTGACTTGACTGAACTACTAATAACTTGACACCAATCCTTCCAACATACTATAAAGAGTCTAATAGGATTCCACTCAGGGCATACTTGTTAGGTACAATTCCCATTTGTCTTGTAAAGAACTAGAACTTGAACTGCTTGCTATTACGAAACTAGCCCCCTTGGTCGTAGCAACAACAGTGACTCTTGCTCCTGCGCTTCCAAATGGGATTAATAGATAATTTTAAGGCTTTGGGCACATCGATGGAGTTTTTTTGTGAAATATGAGACAACTAAGAGATTTTGACATCTACAGTGTGCTTCGAGCTGCATCTGCACAACATCATGTTTGTTTATCTTTCTATTTCTTGCATTCGAACAAAAAACTTTTGCAGTTGATGTCAAGGTTTTAATTTTAATGGTTGCTCTTCTCCTTGATCAATATTTGCTGACAAAAAAAAAAAAAAAAAAAAAAAAAAAAAACTTATGCTGACACTCATCAAATGGCAGTATGTTTTGGGCAACGAGACGAATGTGCTGAATAACTTTATTATGGCATATGATCTCAATTACAGGCTTGATTTAGATAATTCTCTATTGACTTATTTTACAAGTATGCGTTGTTAACACTTGGTTTCTACCATGACTTTCCTCTATCGTGTTACATATCCCGAGTGCTAGAAAAGAAAACTACTATTGCAGGACCTAAGTTTATAGTCATCTTATTTCCACACTAAGTTAAAATCATGCAATGATTTCAAATATTATGAAAATTTTCGTTATGATTAATGGGAAAAATAGTTTAAACGTGATACTGTAATTATGGTAGAAAAACCAAGTCAATAAGAGTTTACATAATATTTTAAACTAAAAATGCTACGCTATTAATCTATTAACCACGAAAATAATGGAAATCACCCAACAAGAATGACGTGTCTAGAAGGATTCAGAAGTCCGGCTATAATAGTTGTAATATCCCACTGGACCTGGTCTTCATATTGGTCTGGAGACATTACTGAGAGCGTGTAAATGAATATTATCTACTTTTATTTCCTTTCACACCATATGCAAGCACTTTTAAAAAAAGTTTATTAGTTTATTTTATTATTTACACGTCATTGGAATGAAAAGACGATATAATTAAGGATTTTTAGAATCTTATACTTCTGATATCCAACTGAAGGGTTTTGTTACATGGTGTTTCTCTATTTTTCTATCTTTAAGAATTACTTTAATCTATTTTTTGCAGACTAATGCAGAGAAGCTATGTAGGAAATTTGTCCCCCTAAGGGCTCTCAGTTTCAACTTTAAAAGAATACCTGCCATAAATCGATGTGGCCTTTGTGGAGGGACTTCTAGATCTTATGATCTGCATGATAATGCCTTTGACATTGAGGAGAGAAGAACTCCACTCAGCTGTTCAGGTTCGGGGCAAAGGGAAGAGGTTAATTTCCTTCTTGATATTTCATTCTATTAAACAATAAATTTTGAGATGCACATAATTGCTTTTTATTCAGCACGTGTATGCAGTTTTACTTTTTATGAAGTTTTCATCTAGTGTGATGTCCTTATTTGCTTATTCGCCCAACTTACTTTAGGAACCTTAGACTGCAGTTACTGACATAAGATTCTAGAACTAATTTAACTTCCTTGCTAATGTCTGATTTCCTTTAGGGTCTAGAACAAAACATGGATGGACATAGTTCATCTATACTTTCCAAAAGAAGTAGGAATATGATAGGAGCTTCCTAAAAATTAAGGCAAAACAAACTATTTTAATTCACCAATCCCAAATAACACAACACAACACAATACATTAAAGATAAACACCTACAATTTGAGAGGTAGACGATCTCTCACAACACTATAATTCAAAAGGTAGGTCATCTCTTCCAAACCCTAACCTTAATTCTATGATATAATATTCTCATAGCATACCATAACCCAAACCTAGTAAACCATATTTATACACCATAATAATAGCTAACAAAAGACTAAATTGCCCCTTTAGCCTTGCGTCGAAACTTAGATTCAAATTATTTAGAATTTCTTTCAAACCCTAACCTTAACCCTATGATACAAATAATCACATAGCATACCATAACCCAAACATATTAAACCATATTTATACTCCACAATAATAACTAACAAAAGACTAAATTACCCCTTTAGCCTTGCGCTGAAACTTAGTTTTAAATTATTTGGCGGGCTAGGCGTCGGTCTGCCATTATTTCTATCCTAACAAAACACCATGTCCTCAAAGTGAAAAAGTGAAAACTGTTGATGATCAAGTCAGATGACTCTGTCGGCGCTTAAAAAAAAAGGGGAAGGGAAAGAACCTGAAGA